CTCAAAGGAATAGTTTAAAACAAAAAGGAATAAAAATCACCTGCTAGCACAGCTATCACGCACCATCGAAATGCACTTCAATTATCACTGTCAAATTGAAAGGTTAATACAATTATTGTATTTCAGGACAATACGAATCCAAAAGGATATTGTGTGAGTTCATTTGTTACCTCGCTCTGCGAACTACGATTTGAGAAGTCATCTGTGGGCCAAGTGTACTTCTTTGCGATAACCCAGAATATATATGATGGTTTTCTATCAACAATAATGTGAACTGGAATACGACGTTTTCTTCAAGGCATTGAAATGTGGGTAGTGCTGTGTCCCTGTTTAAGTAGGCAGATATCCACGCAGTGAATCAAGCAGTAAATTTATTGTAGATGGCACACATGTAGCCAGTCCATAGGCCAGTGCGCAAGCAGGGACGGGTAACACGCAGGAAAGCCGAGAACTGGCTCAGGCGTCCAAGACATCCGTATGCCGTCAAGCAGGCATTCAAACAATCAGTAAGGACAGTTCAATACAAATATCTGATTGGCTGGAGCCGATCGATATTGTAGTAGGATCAATCCGCATGGCTTGAGTGTATATCTTGCATAAATCCAAGATTTTTAACTGGAGTGGCTACTAGTATCTGCAACAAGCATAAAGCGAACTCTGCTAAGGGTTTCTCTGAGGGCTGTTTGTGTGAATTCAGCTAGGGCTGAAGATGTTAATTATACTTCTCATCAACCTGAAAACGCAACAGGGATAAAAAGGGGTATTACACTAATCCAAGAATGATCTGAGGCAGTCTGTATGAGCACGTTACCACACTTCACATATTACCTAACATGGCCGCGTTTCAAACAGTTTAATACTTCTTCCATGGTTAATTATCTCAGACAGGGGCAGTGCGCAAAATAGACATCCATTTTCGGCCGCCAATAGGAAAGGCGCACAAACGAATTCATTTTATCGCCACAAGTAATCAGAATGTAGATCCTAAGACTGATGGGGTTACCGTATGATAATCGAAATACAACAATCTTTAAGGGGTTATGGCCAACCTTCGACGTACATAGAAAAGTGGGAGTCCCTGTTTCCCCCTGGGCGTCAAACCGAAGCTGGTGGCTCGAAATACCATTTTGAACGTAAAACTAGGCCTTCACGTACACTGGGAGCGGCTGTTATTAAACATTCTTGCGTCTTTGATGTAGAAGGAATTCTGGAAAACAATTCAGCATATTGAATATGTTTGGTACATCGGTGCGCAAAAGTGTATGTGCATGCGTTGAAGGGTATACTCCATTGTTGATTCATCACCGCAGATAACGTTGGCAGCGACTATGCTCGACAATAAACAAATATCAGCTCCTCAAGATTATTTTGAATCCAATAAACTTGACTTTCTTATAAATAAATATTTGTTTAGGTGTTTATTACCCTGATGCACCCAGATAACTTCATATTTTATTTAATAATAGCGTTGTCCGGTCTGCTTGGTCTTCCACCTTGCTCAAGAGTTGCATGGACTCTAGTGAATTATACACCGGTATTTACAAAAGGTGATCTTTGGATGAGACTAGTTATGAAAGCAAGTCGGACGACATAACACAAAAGGTTGCGCGATGTCTTTTCATGAAAAAATCGACAGAAAGAATATCAAACCAACTATTGGGAATTATACGTCCAAACTGTTTAGATTGAACCAGATAACTAGAAAATTATATGTTAGCATAGCAGGTGAGCGCATTCCTTTGAGACGGTACGATATAAAAGACATCTGCGCTTTGAACAATGCAAAAGAATCCAGTCGTGATACCTCAACATCAGAAACAGCATATCATTGAGAGAATATCGACCGAAGAACAGCGAACATGGTCTTTAGAAACGCCAACCGTTGCTCGAGCCGGATCCACCGTTATAATGAAAGAAACCACGGCCAACGTATAGATGTCGCAATGAAACCAGTCTTTTTGTTGTGAACGTTTATCTTTCCCATATTCGGATCTTCACATTTTATCGGTTCAACAACGCCTAGCTGGTCACGGCACGTTGACTTTCACTTTCTTCATGCTTAGTCGTCCGTAAACTGCTCTTTCTACTCTGCATATCACATCAACACAACCGTCGTTGAGGTTTCGTGATCACGGTAGTTCCCATCGCCCGTTGTACGTATTTCGTGGACATTGTTGGTCTAGACACTGAGAAACCGTTTGTGACGTTTCGGGTAAGCCAAACGTGTCACGCTGGGTTTTGTTCGTAACACTTAGAGCGAATTAAGCATACCACTGTTATGAGCTCTACCCATTTCCCATCCTTCCTCGCGCACATTATCTTGGAATAACTTTGGTGATGATATCAACGCACATGTTAGTGCGATGAATCGAGCATCCGAGGGGCTACGCGTTCCCGTTTGAGGAAAACGGAAAACAGGCCAATAGTACTGACTAATCAGAAACCATGTGTTTGAAACAGAACCTCTTCTTCGTCGAGAATACAAGCAGGCCACTGGTGAAGATCCATTTAACCAATCATTTTTAAGTGTATTATTTATTCCTGTTGATTTCCCGCGATAAAGTAGCCGCTGCTTCTATGACCTTTCCTCCTCATCTCGGTGCGATTCTGCACTTCGTCTGCGATTGCAACTAGTGTCTACTACTACCGTTAGGCTTGGCTGATAAGTCTGACCAGAGTGAAAATCATTCTTATGCTGAATTCATTAGATCGGCGAGGTTCGAGAGAGAAATTGCGTTATGGGAAACAAGTAAAACAACGCTTATATAGTAAACAGTAATTAATTATCGTTCCGGGACCCCCATGGTTCAACCTTTTCATGTGTTAATGATGAACAATAACGGTTGTCTACGCATATTGAATTCAACTTTTTCACCTACACACAGAATTCACAAAAGCTGCGTTCAGGGCTGAGCACTGCACTGTTCTCGGGATGCAATTCTTCTTACTGTTCCAGTTTTCATTTGGAAGCACTTTTGATGCAATTCTAGGTTGTAAACTTCGCGCGAATGGAGTAGAAATACTAGAAAATTTCACTGCTTTGTGGCTCGCGATTCAATCGGTGATCCGTGCGATTTTTAAAGCATACCGAGCACGATAACAAAATCCTCACATTAAGTTCATTTACCCATAGATGAATTCAAAAGCTAGCTTTCAGTTCTGTCCAATTCCGTCTGTAAAAGCTGTATCTGAAAAGGAATAAGCGGTAGCCAAGACGATCGGACATATCGAAATAGAGATTAAAGTGAAATAATAAAAAAAATCATCGAGAAAAGCTGGCTAAAACGGAACTCATTGAAAAGATAGGCTACATAGAAAATAGAGAACCAAAATCGACATAGCAACACACACAACTAATGATTGACTCCGGGGGCATGATTGAAAGTTTTGAAGTGATTGAGTACGCAGAATCAGAACAGCACCACTGTAGATCACTTGGGGATTGGTTGTGCAACCCAAGTTCTGACCAGTGAATCCATGCAGTCAAACTGATGAGCCCAATCAACGGGATAAAGGAACGGTCGCAGATCGAATCTAATATGGAAGGTGACAGTGAGATGAGAAGGGCAGCGAGAAGGAACTGTGGTTAACATAAGCAGAGTGAACACATGAAAAAGCCTATCTATTAAGCAAGTTAAAGATCTCATCAGAAAAGATAACTATCAATATCGTATTCATAATCTCAGTTAAATGAGGTTTGGTAGTTGTAATCAAGCACAACACAATGTGTGCAAACTGAATACAGGAAGTAAGACTAATCTTTTTGGCTAGTACAGAATGTGTACAGGTCAGTAGTATCAATGCACCCATTACGCTCGTTGGATAAGTAAAGGTGCAAGTGCAAGCACAAGGCCTTTTGGACCGAAAGATGAGGGATACCCTACCCAATTTATTTATCTGTTGTGTGTATAAGCGGTTCGCCCCACCTCCCAGCAGCAACTAGAAACAGTGTGGCGGTAGGGGGTTGCTAGGTATGAATTACACACTAACCAGTGAGATTCCCTGTATGCACTGAACACAAGAGAGACTGGTTGCCCTTTAAATTCATTTCCGAGATTACCAAAAGCCTCCAAATCATAACGTTTCAGGTAATGGTTATGTCCATGTATTTTTTCGTCGTTTTAGTGTTGACTTATGAAAAAGGTCCACGTGAGATGCTTTGTTCGAACGTGCATCAAGCCGAAAGATGATTATGCATTGAAAACGTTGCCGCTATTGATATGATTCGAAAACCCAGAAACTTGGGTGCGTACCGTGCGAGCTTTTGGTAAGTGGTGATCAGAGGGTTCTGATTCGATATTTGACTAGCTGAACTCACAGATTTCGGCGAATCAGCGGACCATATTTAAGGGACTGGGCGGGGCTGAACGGCAACAGCACAATGGACTGAGAATTGTACTTCGTCTGAAGGATTGACGCAATCCTGGGCACCATTATTGAATAAGGGGTCAAAAAGCAATCTTTTTTCACCTGATTGAAGACAACTTTTTTATTCAACCCGATACCATTCAGCGATAGAATGCAGACTTTTGACTGAATTTCCAAAGGAAGGAACTTAAGCAATAGGGTATTCCACGAGCGTGTCCATTGGTCGGCAGGCTTTTTCTACATACATCTTCTAAACTCTTTTTTCATTTACAACTGAAGGAGTGTCACATTGTTTTAAATCATCCCTGATTTTTGAAGACACTCAGGCACTATAAGAAAAGACACTCAGTAAACGCATTTTGCCACTTCAGTTTATCACCCCATTGAATATGTTCAAAATTTTTCTAGTTCTCTCGTACCATTTCATAAGATTTTACAATGACCAAGCGAGCAACGTGTTTACAGAAACCGAAGAGCATTGATGTTAAAACAAGGATGCAACTGAACATGTGTTCCAAACAACTTCAATTAATCGCATGGAACTTAGAAAGCACATTTTTGACGAAATTCACACGGAACAACCCAACAACATCTAAGAACAAGAGACGGAATGGGAATTTTATGATTGACAATTACCGATTATCATCCGCGTTGTAGGCCTCCGTATGATAGGCTGGTGGTAGTACGGTGCATTTGTGACGATTGATTGCATACATACGGAAAAACCATTTGACCTTTTCCGACAGGAAGGTGGCCAGCTGGGTACCGCCTTTACCATCTGCATCAAAATAGTCTGCAGGTATGTCATTCTGAATTTCCATCCATGCACCGTCAAGCAAACGGCAAAGCATACTGTACGGACCGCAGCTTTCCACTTTGCGCAAACGACCGAACAACGAAAGCATATTGTAAGTCAGACCCATGTCCACTTCATCCGTTTGTTGAACACAGCCAGTAGAATCCAGTGGCATGAGTTCGGCCGTTGGTTGAGCAGATGAAATCTGCTGCAAGACCAGTTTCAGCTGTGCGTCGTACGGCGGTTGGAGACACGAGCTGAGTGATTCCGCACAATAGTGAATGAAACCACGCAAATCTCGTTTGCTGATACTACCGATTGGATTGACATCCGCGCTGGAACAATCGTATCTTTGCAAAACAAGTCAGGGAACGGAAAGTGGTCAGAGCAATCACCTGGTGATTTTTATAGGACAAATAACTATATAACAAAAAAGCTAAATAGCAACAATAGACGAACAAGATGCGACTATCGACTTCATTTCTGTGTCAAATTATCTCACGGTCGCTAGATAAACCTGTCTGATCCAGGTAGCGATTTCCGCTGTAGAGTATTTCTTAAGCAGACACGTGGTATTCCAAACTAGCTACAAAAAGGCTGATCACTTAAATGCGATGTAAATCTCTGTGATGACCGATAAAAAGCACTGGACAGCTGTTTCGAACTCCCAACAACCTCCGAAGGAGTAAAACCCATACTCAAGATCATCAACAATGCCTGGTGCCTGCGAAAATCCGAATGGGCTAATCCAAACATTCCCCGTCTAAAAAGATTGTTGATCTTGCAAACAAACAAAAATCGAGAGCACGCTTCTACAGCGTGATATTTTTCAGGTGAACGGAGTAGAGTAACGGGAGTAGCAAATGAAAGTTACACAATGCTCCGGTGGGAGGGGCGGTTCAAATAGCAGCATGGGGTCAAATGTGCGTCGACTACATCAACACGACTGCTATATCAAGGAAAGTTACCTCTCAGTCTTAATGTTAACAAAATTTTTGAGTTTTATATGTGAAAATATTGGTAAGTTCCAAAACGAATCGTGAGTGTCGGTCATCTGACCGATTTACAAAAAAGGTGATGAATAGGTCTTCTTGTGAAAACCACGAATGAATCAGTTTGATCAACATCGTCCCAAAGCTCCCCACGGATATTACACTCCATCGGTGGGCTTCCGCATTTGAACAATGCAGATAGAAGAATTGCTTTGGACCTGATACAGGTTGCATCGACCGTACTTTTACTCTGCGTCAAATTCTGGAACAAAAACAAGTTTGAGAACAACAACGTGGCGAACAAGATCGTTTTCAGTTATTCGTAATCATGTCATTACATAAGGTTAAGTATGACTAACGATAAGAATAAACAAGGAATGAGAGATTCGAGTCCTAATGGTTTAGCTTCGGCTCCAATCATGAGTGAAATTTCACACAGGCGCACATGCACGCATGATTGGAGCCGAAGCTAAACCATTAGGACTCGAATCTCTCATTCCTTGTTTATTCTTATCATTAGTCATACTTAACCTTATGTAATGACATGATTACGAATAACTGAAAACGATCTTGTTCGCCACGTTGTTGTTCTCAATGTGTTCTGTGGGACTAATGAAACGTTTAAAATCAAGTTTCGCAGATTTATCCTTTTTGTCTTTCCTGACCTAAACGCGACATTCAAATCAACCAATCACTTCATTCTCCGGCACTGCCTATACCTGGATGGTATGCCAAAGAAGTTTATTTCGGCATTGAGATGCTTTCATAGTCATATTCGTAGCTGAGTTCGAGCTTAGGATTCTTTCTCGTCCGGGCGCACCAGATAAAGTGGAGTTTCTCAAGGTTGCCTTCTCTCCTTCTTATTCGATTTTTCAATGGATATAGTTCCGGAAAAATATTAAAGTTCCTGCGAAAACAGCTGCATCGATACACGCTTCCAAGTGGAAGACTGCCTAATTTGGAGTATGTGGGTGACATTGTGCTGATAATTGAAGATCCAGGTAAGTTGCAATCAATTCTGGATCGTTCTGGTCTCAAGCATTTTGCAGCTTCACAGGGGTTAAATGTTGTTACAGGAATGGGTCGGTTCTGCTCCCGATTTTACTATAACCTGTAAAACGGTAGAGAAAATATGCAAATGTCGCTATTGGGGCAGTTGTTTTTCACCTAGAGGCCACACCGCGGATGAAGCTTCGGCAAGCATACTCCATGTTCGGTTAGTATTTGCAAATTGCAGCATCTGACTTCCCCGCGATATCCGTCTGTCTGTGTTGGTCGAGTGCATGCTGCAGCAGTTCGGTCACTACTGCTTTACAGTGAAAAGATTTGGTTGACAGGTGAACAGGACAAAGGTAGCCTGTAGGTGTTTGAACACCACTGTATACAGCGCACTGCATGCGCATAGTGGAAAACCGAACGAGTACTGCTGCGGTTACACGCAGTGTCAGGCAATCGCAATCGCCCCTTGGGGTAATGGTTTGACCTAAATCGATTGTTTTTAACTGGACTGTGTTACACGTGTCATCAAATAGACGGCCGCGGTATGCTATGCTTCTCGAGGTAGGTAATAGGCGGAAAAAGTCAAGGGTGGCCAATTTATGGTCTGGCATAGCAGCATGAAAACCCTGATCACGGGAAGTGACCGTATAGGTCGTGCTAGGCTCCCCGGTAGGTAACCTTAGTGTAATCTATGGTTAAAGGCACTGAGTGATGTGCTTAAGCGTCGCAACAAGTAGCCCTCGTGCATGTACTCAATGTTCTTGCAACCTTAATCTACATGAATCACTATCTTCATCTTGATATTGCTCCTAGCTTCTATTTCTTCCTTCTATTCCTTCGTCCGAATGAGCAGCCAAAAGACAGCAACCAAAACCACCGTGTGAAAGTGCAGGGCTGATGGTTTCATAAACAGAAAACTGAGTTGTTGAAACCAACCCTAATTAGTTGACTGTACCATGCGAACCCCGGAAACACGCGTTCTGAGTCTAGCAATAACCAAAATGCATAGACTACCTGGTTCACTTGTGTGACTTACGTGATATAGTTCAACTACCAGTATGCGATAACCATTCAATCAGAGCATTCAACTAATTTTTTACACACTTTCCTGTGATGAACAGCAGACGGGGAAAGCCCCATAGTCAGTAAGACCTGCTGTTCAGTGATTGTAACCGGCAGCTCAAGCCCCGGGACTCAGAGTGGCGCGGAATCGATGGGTTAGACGTGGTATTGAACCGGACGACAGCACAGCTATCTACCACCAAAGTCGGATGGCGGTGGCGGGGCTCGAACCTGGGACCATAGGGTTTAAAGCACACTTGTGANACTAAACCACGGCGCCACATGGGTCTGTTTCATGGCCCTATCGAGTAAATTGGAACATAGTAAACTTCCCCGGATTAGGTGTCGAGAAATCTGTAGTTGAGGTGGACATGCACTGATAAATTATTGACGCACAACTGATTATCACCCCTTTGCTTTTTCAGTGACTTGTAAACAAACTGGAGTCGTTCGTGTTGGCGCATAGTCTACTGCAGCACTATGCAAAAAGTGGAGTTTGAAATCCTACCCCAGCCGAGTGGCATTGATCCCAGAGCGAGTTGCCGTGACGAGTGGTATCATAAATTAAACTCGGCGAAGGAGTGTATATGAGATTAAAATTCATGTGGATTTTATGCGTTGGACAGTAACCGAGCTAATAACCAGCCAATAATTTTAAGCAAATAAATCAAAAGTGCATCTAACCTTTACATCACACCGATCGTGAAGGACATCTCAGAAAATAGAAACACTTAACCACCTTACATGTTATATCCCAGCTTACTTGGTCAAATAACCACGAAGACATTCGTCCAGATTTCCACTGCTTAGCATCAGAAGTCCACCCGAGAGGTGATGTTGTTGTGGAATCAGTTGGGCCATCAAATAGGACAGCACTAAACGACTGCGTGCTTGAACATTTTGCAACGCAAGACTTTCTCGCGCCTCACCACCTTGAACAGTGAATCGGGGAGGCCTAGGTAGTGTCAAGCTGTGCGTTGCAGTTGTGACTAGGGAGGAGACCGTGGTGGAAATGTCCGCCTTTGATCAGCAGTGAGGGTGTGAGAAAAAAACAAGATACCAAACAGACATGTGATTAACTGAAGTTAAACCATATTGCTGAAATTTATAAAAATTCACGTTACTGATTGGTTTCTATATGAAAATAGACAATTCATGCCTGAAGTTTCAATTCGATTAGCTATTTATCAGTCACGTTTTGTATTTCATGGATAGCGATTACAGAGTGATTCCAGTGAAAATGACAATATCTAGAATGTAACAAACTTTGCACAGAAATAAACAGTAGGAGACGAATGCACCAAATCGTCATTGCCCTCAAAACAAGGGATCACCGAGAAGGATTATTCGATTCATTGAAGCGTGCATCACAACTGATCCTTGACAGGATTCATGTGTGTAAGCACTTGTACTGAACTCCCGGTCGGCAGGCCAAATGTTCAGCTAGGTCGAAGTAGTTCACGAACGTGCCAGACATAAACAACCTTGGTGTAATGATTGTATTAACAGTAGTAGTACGCACGGAATTCGGAAAATCAACCACGCAATATGAATCACAGGACCCGAATCAATAATCAGCTACCACGGACTGGATCTCAAAAGCACTGGACAGCAATGGCACGGGTTCGCAATGTCCCACGAGAACAAGACGCGAGGAATGGTAGTAAGCAGTAGTTAGATTATTGAAAGAAATGAAGGTAATTAAATAATATGTACAAAGGGAGATTATTGGCTATCTGTGCTTCCACCAATGGGATTGCAGTACTGCTTTCATAATCTTGCTTCTGTCTGCACTGTCTTGGATTGGCTGGCACCATCCACCAATGACGTGTAATCAGAAGCCATGCACGTGTCATTGACATCAGCATTCAAAATAGATTGATCGCAAATGTCCTGAAACTGTAACGCGCCGCTCCAGGGTAGGTGCCATCGTGTAGGCCTGGATCACCACGCTCGGGCATCATCCACGACCGACAATTCATGCGTATTTCATAGACAAGTGTACGAAGTAGGCATCTACTAGCCTGTTTGGTGCATCCATCATATGCAGTGTATTGACATTGGTCCAGTGACACCATTCTGAATGTACACGTGAGATTAGGAAGACGAGTATCACAAGGAAAGCGACAAGTCCTTAACAGCTAAGGAGTTTTCAAGGGAGATCACACACCCAGACTTCGTGGTTCATATCACGACCTGATGAGTTTGCCAGAAACTTGACCATTAAGAAAACAGGATAAAGGTAGACTGTCTACGCGGCAACCGGACGAGCAATGCTGAGGTGAGGCGCAGAGTTTTGGGTAACCGCGGTCGCCCACTGGAGCCAATGTTCGACCTCCATAGACTACGTTGGTTGGGGCATGTGTTACGCATGTCTCCAGATAGGTTGCCACGGCGAGCGATGTTCGCTGAGGCAAGTAGTGGGTGGAATGAAGCCAAGGGTGGTCAAGCTAAGACCTCGCACGAGGGTATGAAAACCTTGACCAGGGAACTGGGTCACATCGGTCCTATTAGGCTCCCTGAATGGAGACTTTGGGATAGTCGTAACCGATGGGTAGAGACGCTGAATGATATGGCTGAGTGTCGTAAACCGTGGCATTCTCACATCTCAATTCTTTTGCAACCTTGAACCACTGAAATTCTCCATTTTCTGTTTGACTCTACTTCAACTCTCCTGTCTTCTCCTATTCTTCATCCAAATGGGCAGCCAAAAGACAGCAACCAAAACCGGCGCACGGAAGTGTATGGCTGATGGTTGTAAAAACTGAACTGAGTTTGCCTTTATGTTGTCCATACATTATGTCGGTGGTTTTCGAATGCAACTCTGCTTACGGGTATGAGGGGAAAATTGAGATCGCCAGACCAAATAAACTTTCTCCTTCTCGTATGAACTCAGTTACGATGCTTGAAAAAAGCGCCCAGAAAGTGATAAACAAATAATAAGATACTGAAGGTTCACGTTAATTTGGTGCTGGTGCGGTTGGGACATCCTGATAATAAGAAGCTTGGGAGACTGATAAAATATTTAACGTGACTGGAAAATCCTTAGATTTTAGTTTTACCAAAAATCCTCCTGTTCAACGTGAGTAATGGAGGATTTGATTAAACTTCAAATGGGAATTCTTCCTGTAAAGAGCAAATGAAGCATGAACTGAAAAGCTAGGAAGCACTACAGCTGTTTCGACCAGGTTGGGTCTCAGCAGCAGTGCAAATCCATCCATCAAACTGGGGATCGAAATCGGTACCTCACAGCTAGAACCGATCATCTTCATCATTGTGCGGAGTAATACAGTGAAGCGAACTTCACTGATCGCTGCCAAACTCATAATGCATACAAGATAAGTGAGAATGTGTAAGGAGGACAGGGATTGGGCCTATTTTTGGGGACGGGAAAAGAAAGCGAACCTCTATGGTACACACAGAGTACACAGCCCATCTGTGCATACATACAATTTCAAGCATTCTGGTCTGATAAGAAGTGATAGCATGATCGCCATTACTGTCAGTTCGCACGTGGCTTTCTCCAGCCTGTAACAGCCACTGCAAACAAGGCGCGTTGCGGTGGGCGACAGTCGGACATACGCAAAACGTGTCCTAGCCAACGGAGCCTACTGAGCTGGATACGATGCGATAGCGAGTTCTTGTTTTATGTATTCCCAAATACCAGACGACATACTTCTAAGCTACTAGCCCGCTCACTCCATTCAATATGGGCCACATTACGTAAGCATCGATTGTCGAACACTGCTAAACGACGGGTGTCTTCTACCCGCGAATTCAAGGTCCCATCACCGTAAAGTAGAACTGATCGTACGGTGGCGCAGTATACGCGACTTTTCAACTTTAGTGAAACGTCACGTCGTCGGCAAAGGTATTTTAGTCCTAAGTACGCTGCTCGAGCCTTGGAAATCTGGGCGGTTATCTCCTTCGATGCCCTACCGTCGTTGGTCACGCAGCTACCTAAGTACAAGAAGCAGTCAACTGCAGCTAATTCCTGACCGTCTAGTTTCAGAACAGAACTCGGCGACACCCAATCATGTAGTATCACTTTGCACTTTGAAGGTGCAAAGGACGTGCCGGATGGAGCAACAGAACTTGCTAATCTGTCAAGTGTTATTTGTATATCCTCCATAGATTCGAACAAGCAAACGATGTCGTCGGCTTACTCCAAATCACACAACTTTTCTCCACCTGCCCGTCTATGACGAAATTGAACAGGGGTGGTGAAAGAGGGCACTCTTGACGAATACCGCTGTTAGTTACGAACGACCTACTCAGCTCGCCAGAGTATGTGAGTAGAGTGAAATCAGTAGGTTCACGTACTTATGCGGCACTCCTTTGCGAAGGAGCGAACCCATAAGGGATTTACGATCAACTGAGTCGAAGGCTCCTTTTAGGTCAAGGAACACAACAACCGATGGTCAACGGTGCATACAGCGTAGCTCGCGGCCTTGACGCACAGTGAAGATTTGGTCGATACAACCGCGACCTGGTCGAAATACTGCTTGTTGTTCACGGATTTTTGTCCCCCTAAACGACGTCAGTCGTCGAAGTATAATGGAGGCTAGTAACTCGGTGACGATTGGGATCAATGTTATTCAACGGTGATTTGCGCAGCCATTGCAAGATGCCTTCTTAAAAATTGGAACGAACGGTGATTCGATTCAGGATGATGGAATGCACTCGTGTAACCAGATGTTATGCATTAAATCAGTAATAGAGTCTACGAGGTCATCGCCCCCCCCCCCCATCTTGAAAAGAGNAAAAGAGTGGGAGGAAGCCCGTCCGGCCCTGCTGCATTTCCTTTCTTCAGGGTTTGGATGCAAGAACGAACTTCTGTTGCAGTAGGAAGCTTAGATAACACTGCCCACGGAGCCTCAGCTACATCGGAGGAGATAGTCTGGTTAGCGCCTGACCAGCTGGACTGTTTGTTGAAGTACTCCGCCCAACGGTCAAGCCGTTGTTCGCTATTGTGAATAGCTTGCTCACTTGCTCGCCGATTGTTTCACTAACTGTGGTTCGCCGACAATTCCGTATTGCGTATCCGTTGGAACAGTCTTTGATTATCCTCTGATGAAGCTGCTACTTCCACTTCACTAGCTATTGTTGACCACCGGTTCTCAGTCTTTCTTGAGGCTCCTCGTGAGTTGATGTTGTAGACGCCACCTAGCCTTGCCTTGATCCCGGGCGGTCGGGATTCGACGCTTTTTCTCCAGCAGTACTACTGACTCATCAGATATCCAATGCCTCGGGTGGGCTACTGCTTCAGATCCACAAGCAACGTTCGCTGTGGAGTAGATTGCTCGGCTAATCTGATCCCATTGTTCATTTACACTACCACCCCGCAGTGCGTATAGCTTTTGTCCTAGTTCTGATTCAAAACGTGCACGAACGGTTGGGTCCGATAAGTGATGATCTGTCTATTGAGTTTGTTGGGATTTTCTGCAACCAGTGAGTTGGAAAGTGAACTGCATCAAAACTAACGCATGATCAGATTCAACGCAGTTTTGTACTGAGCCACGCTAACGGTAGCTTACTACTGTGCGATCGATCTGAGTTAGCGTGCCAGTTGAATTTGAGCGCCACTTTGTTGTCCGTTGAAATCTGTGTCGGAAGTTGGCGCTAGATAGGAACAGATGCTAATCTGCGCAGAACTGAAGAAGTCGATCGCCATTATCTGTTTGCTGGCAGGGCAGAGCACAATAACCGCCTAGGCAAGCTTCCGATGCGCTCAGTTTTTCAACTTGAGGGTTAAAATCACCTGAGAGAACAAGTATGTCGGAGCTTCGACTCAACCGAATGAGTTCGGTGGGTTTATCATAAAACTTGTCTTTTTGTGCGTCAGAACCGCAGTTGATCAGTGCATACACTGCAATGATGAACAAACACCTTTTGGCATTGCTTCCCTTCCGGACGCTGATAGACCCTTGGAGCCGCATCGCACAGAAGTGACTGTTGACGGGGATCCAGTCGAGTAGTATAGCTTCGGCTGTTTTATTGAGTACAATGCCTACGCCACGCTGGCCTACTGAACGGGTTTCGTCATCACCTGACGTACGGAGGAAGAACCTCGAAGACAACCCCGGTGCACTTAAGTGGCATATAGTACTAGGATCCTGGAGTCGAGTCTCCAACACGCAGCAGACATCAATACCCAAAGAGTCCACTGTACGCGCCAGACACGCTTGTTGACCTACCTGCATCAGAGTCCTCACGTTGAAGGCCCCCTGATTCAGTGGCTGACGGGGCTTCAGAATCCGCAATCTATTTTGTGGTAAACCACTTACCGGGCCACTTGGCAACGAACTTCGGCGAGTGACGAACAAGTTATCTGAGGGAATACTACGGGTTGGAAGAAATATTAAAGGGAGAGGGTTGGGTACAGAAGTTTAAGAGTTAAACAAAGGTTGAGATATCTAGAACGCAAGCATGCAACCCGCTCGGCCACTGGGTAACTGATCAGACTGTTTTTCAGTTATACGACGTAGAACAACCCATCTTTGGGAGCTTGTTGCTGGCATCGCGCATCGTCCATCTCACGGGTTTGATCCTTAGTTAGGCCCATGGATTCGGACTACTGATGAGAGCGAAACTGGTCGAAACAGCTGTACAATGCTTCCTAGATTTTCAGCTCACGTTCCAATTGCGCTCTACACGACGAAATCCCCCTACAAAATGAAATCAAATTCTGTTATACTCACATGCAATAAATATTTCATCATTTTTATCATGTTCTGATTCGAGTAGTTAGTACTGTTGATTACATGATGAACAGTAAAGGAGTAAACCCCCATATACATAGTATATTGAACATTGACGATCGGGAATATTCATCGAAAACACGACTTGTTGATTCTGCGTTTGAATATAGAAAGCGTATAAGAAAGAAAACCAGAATAAGGACGATTATTCCAAAATTCCGCGATTTACAGACATAATAGTATTTAAACGGTCCCGTTTGAAAGGCTTTTATAGGTAGTTACTCGGGATGACCTTAAAACTCATGATCGGGTCTCGGAAACAAACGAAAGTGGAGGGACCAAATAGGCAAACTTTCTCTACAAGGTCACCACTATAAATAGGACGGGGAAAAGATCGAACGGTGATGAGCATGAGAATGCTAGGGACAAATTGACGACAGGGTCGTCTTTATGCGGAACACGATCCAAAAGTACGAAACAAGGTGGCCCCGCTCTAAACACGCCTACAG